AAAAAAAAAAAAAAAAAGAGATATCCTTTGGGAAAAGCACTCAATTGTAATGAACATAATTTAATTTTGTCAGTATAAATTCAATTTTACGAATTCATGCAGTAAAAAGTCTTTAATCATCTGTTTAGTGTTAGAACTCAGAAAAACATTTGAGTCATTGTTATTGGATCACAGTAATTAAAGCAAATGATGATTCACATTAATGGTCTCAGGATACCAGCTTGGTAACTAACAAACAATGGGTAAAACCATTTGAAAAAATTTTAAACACCACACCCACTTCCACCGGTGTCAACCAAAGATGAATTATCCAACTGATAGAAGTTTCATAATTCAGGCTCTTAATAAAGGCAAAAGAAAATCATGAACTCCTAGCCCAGTCTCTCCCATACTATGCAAGAATTCTCTTGCCAGCATTCCTCATAGGTAATTACTTAGTTTTTATTTTCTGGGACAGGAAATTTGTATGCATAAGTGGTATCTCAAATCACCAGGGAAAAGGTGGACTTTTTATTAAATCATGTTGGGATAAAGATGGAAAAGATAAAATTGGATCAATTTCTTATACACGAGGAAAAATCCCAAATTGGCCAGTTTTTTTAATATTAAAAAAATGCAAATACTAGAAAAAGATATGGATGAATTTCTCTATAATAGAACAAAAAATTACTAGCTAAATTGCTTGAATTGGTTCTAAAATCCAGAAGCAATTAGGTTGAGGTTGCTATGAGCTATGAAGCCTGGACACTCTGTCGAGGGTGACAAAGTAAAACTCTGTCTCAGAAGAAAAAAAAAATTTTAAAGTGTTTTGTAACATTAAAAAAAGGACTCAAAACAATGACCAACCCAGCACCAATAAGCAGCTAGTCCCTAGACCACCATCTCTAAATACTGTTTCCCAGGAACCAGGGTTTCTTGGACATCTTTTTTTAAAGAAAAGAAGAGTTAAGAGGTTTGAGTCTTTCCCTTTATTTACTGGTTTTCAAAATATTCAGTTGATTTCCTAAGATTTATTTAAGGTATGGCTCGGCGCCTGTAGATCACTGGTTAGGGCACACCCACATACACCAGGGCTAGAGGTTCAAACCCGGCCCGGACCTGCTAAACAACAATGACAACTACAACAAAAAATAGCAGGGCGTTATGGCGGGTGCCTGTCCCAGCTACTTGGGAGGCTGAGGCAAGAGAATCACTTAAGCCCAAGAGTTAGAGGTTGCTGTGAGCTGTGACTCAATAGCACTCCACTGAGGGTGACATAGACTCTGTCTCAAAAAAAAAAAAAAAAAAAATTTATTCAAGGTGGCCAATGAGTGTTGTTGGTTTCTTTTTTAAAAATCATTATGAACTCATAAAAACTCATAAATTCTTAACAGATATTTCCATGAACTAGGAAGGAAATACATAAGATGAGGCTGACCGTCTTGTCATACTGGAGAACAAGGTAGCTATCAGAGTCCTAGAGGTGTTTCCAGAGGCCTGAGGAGCATCTGAGTATCTGAATAAGCTCCCCCTGCCCAAATTTTGAATAATTAGTCTATAAATAAAGATAATAAATACAATAGATTGAAATTCATCCCATCTGTTAAATTCCTGAGTTCATAATGATTTAAAAAAGAAACCAACATTCATTGGCCACCTTGAACGAATCTTGGGACACCAACTGATTATTCTAAAAACTGGTAAATAAAAGGAAAGAATTAAACCTTTCGCCTTCCTTTTCTCTAAGAACTCTACTTCAGGGCAGACAAATAGTTGATGAGGGTAAAGTTTTCTTGAATGAGGATTCCAGATAATGAAAGTAGTGATCTAATCACAGCATTATCATTTGC